AGCACGGCTGGGGAAAGGGGCAGGGCTTTGTAGGGGCTGAGGGGAAGGGGGTGGGGCCTGGGGCTGGCTGACCCCTGCCCCCCCCTTGCCCGCAGGATGAAGCCCGGCTTGGGCAGCCCCCGCGGGTCCCCGTCGCGCCCCACCCTCGCCAGCCGCCCCCAGAACACCTGGCGGGCGCAGGGCGGCGCGGGGCGCCAGCACAACATGCTCATGGAGATCCAGCTCACCAAGGTGCGGGGGGCAGAGCATAGCGCCTGGCCTGCCACAGCACGTGGGGCTGAGGGGGCGGAGCTAGTTGGCATGGAGGGGTGGAGCTAAGGGAAGGGGTGGGGCCAGCCAGGGACAGGGTGGGGCTAGTTGGGGGCATGATTAGGAGAAAAGGGGCTTCCCTTTCACTCCCTGCCCCGCCTGGGATAGAGATCTGCTGGTCCCCACGTGGTTGGCTGGGGGCGTGGCCAAGGGAAAGGGGTGGGACTTAGGAGCTGTTCACCTGCCTCAGGACCCAGGGCTGCAGGCCAAGGAGGGATGTGGCCGGGGAAGGGGGCAGGCTCTGGGGCATGGATTTGGGGCTAGACCTTGCTGACGGACCCCCCTTTCTCCTTCCACCCAGGTGAGCTTCCAGCATGAGACCTACCCTGCTGGGGCGGAGGCAGGGGCCGGGGGGGCGCCGGAGGCGGAGGAGCAGCCGGCCGGGCGCCAGGTGCTGCTGGTGCAGGAGCTGGAGGTGCGCGACCGCCTGGCCTCGTCCCAGATCAACAAGTTCCTGTACCTGTACACCAGCGAGCGCATGCCGCGGCGCGCCCACGCCAACATGGTAGGGCCTGCCGGCCTGGGGCGGAGGGGGGAGCTGGGGCCAAGGGCAGGGGGATGATCAGGATCCCCCAGGCTGGGGTGGGCAGGGACCTTGGGGGCCGTGGGGGGGCATGGAGCTAGCCTGATGTCGCCCTCCCCAGCTGACGGTGAAGGCGCTGCACGTGCTGCCCGAGGCCGGCCTGGGGGGTCCCGAGTGCTGCCTCCGCGTGTCTCTCATGCCGCTGCGCCTCAACATTGACCAGGTGACCCCTGACCCCGCAGGGACTGTGAACTGCCCCTAGGGCTTGCCTGACCGCACGGAGACCCCGAACTTCCCCAAGCCTTGATCCCTTACCCTTCAGGGATCCTGACCTTCTGTAGCCCTTGACCTATGACCCCCCAGGGACCCTGACGTCCCCAAGGCCCTGGTCCCTGACCCTGAAGGGACTTTGAACTCCGCTAGGCCCTGAACTCTGCCCCTTGACCCCGCAGACACCTCCTCCCTGGGGACCCCAGCAACACCCCCGGATGGGTGGGAGGAGACTGCCCCTCCCCACCCAGCACTGCAAAACCAGGCCCAGGCTGGAGGGGGAAGATGCCCCCCTCTATTTTCCAAGCAGGTTGACCCTTTCCCTGCTGGGAGCCAACATAGATTCCCCCCTTCCCTTCGCCCCCCACCCCCCGGTCTCCTCCCTACATCAGGTGTGGGGGGCTCTGACCCTGTCTTTCTCCCCTTCCTCCACCCCCCAGGATGCCTTGTTCTTCCTGAAGGATTTCTTCACTAGCCTGGCAGCTGGCATTCACCCTGTGGTTCCCATGGAGGCAGGCACAGAAGGTAAAGAAAGCTTGGGGTTGGGGGGAGGGATGGGGGTTTAGGAGCCCCAAACCCTGCCTGCTGCTGGGGAAACCGAGGCACTGGGGGGTGGGGGTGGTCTCTGCGCTCGGTGCTGTAGGAATGTATCTGAGCACCGGCGTGTTGCAGCACCCCCTGTCACCACTAGGTGGGGCCCATGTGTGGGCTGCTGGGGAAACTGAGGCCCAGCGTGGGCTAGGAAGGGCTGATTCCAACTCCTCCCTCCCCCCCAACAAGCCCGCCTGGATGCCGGGGTCCGAGGTAGCCCTGCCCCCGAGCCAGAGTCCCTGGGGAAGGAGCAGGAAGGGGTGTCCAGGACCCCCGGGCCGGGAGGAGCCGACCTGACGTCCTCCATGGAGACCACGTACAGCGAGAACAGCTCGTCCTCCACCGCCTCGTCCTCCGCCGACCAGCCCATCTACTTCAGGTGGGGACTGCGGCTGGGGGTATCGGGCCTCTCAGTGAGATGTGGCTGGCTCTGGGGTGGAGCATGACAGCAGCTGAGTATAACTGATGCAGCCGCCTCTGGGATGGTGGGTTGGTCAGGGCTGGGGCATCCAGGTCTGTGCTGCAGCTGGGTCTGAGGTGGGCTGTGCTGGCGGCTGAGTAGAACAGATGCAGCCGGCTCTGGGGTGGGGCTGAGGATACAAAGCCAGACACTAGGGTGCGGCCATCTCTGTGGGGGGGACACGGCAGCTGAGTAGAACAGAGATGTGGCTGCCCCTGGAGCAGGGCCTCGGGCCCTGGAGACGGGGCTGAAATGCAGCTGGCTCTGGGGTGGAATGTGTCAACGGCCAGCTCTGGGGGCACCGTGCTGGGGATACATGGTGTCCCCATTGGATGCAGCCAGCTCTGGGGTGGGACACTATGTTCCCTGCCCGGTGCAAGCCCCGCCCCCTTCACCCACCCGTCTCTCCAGCTCTCTGTCCTGATTGGTTGATCCCCAGGGAGTTCCGGTTCACCTCGGAGGTGCCCATCTGGCTGGATTATCACGGCAAGCACGTGACCATGGACCAGGTGGTGAGTGGGGCTTTGGGGCGGAGCCTCGGGGACCTGCCCAGGTGCCCGGTGTGGAAACAGGCATGGGGGGGCGGAGCCTCAGGATAGGTGGGGGGTGGCTGTTTAACCCTTCGTCTCCCCTAGGGCACTTTTGCCGGGATCCTCATTGGCCTGGCCCAGCTCAACTGCTCGGAGCTGAAGCTAAAGCGTCTTTGCTGCCGGCATGGGTAAGTGGGGGCGGGGCCAGGGGGTGGGGCCAGGGGGCAGGGAGGTACCTCCCTGCTCGGTAACCCCGCCCCCAACCTCCCTAGTTGCAAGGGGGGTCGGGGTGACCCACAGCCCCACCTGCCCCTGCTCAGCTCCGTCCCACCAGGCCTTGCATGGCCCCCTGGGTCCCCAGCTCCCCCTCTATCCCACGCTGCCCTGGGTGCTCAGCTCCCATATTGCATTGCTGGCGCAGGCTGCTGGGCGTGGACAAGGTGCTGAGCTACGCGCTGACCGAGTGGCTGAGCGACATCCGCAAGAACCAGCTCCCGGGGATCCTGGGCGGCGTCGGCCCCATGCACTCTGTGGTCCAGCTGGGTGAGGCGCCCATCACCTACCCCACGCGGGGGCTATTGCCCTGCCTCGGGGCCCTGGGAACATGGTGGGGAGGGGGGGATGGTACTGGGGGAGTGGCCTGGGTTTTAGGGGCGTCTCAGCCCCTCCCCCCAACCTGTGCCCCTTCCCCTCCCTCCAGTTCACGGCCTTCGGGACCTGTTCTGGCTGCCCATCGAGCAGTACCGCAAGGACGGGCGGCTCATGCGGGGGCTGCAGCGCGGCGCCGCCTCCTTCGGGACCTCCACGGCCGCCGCCGCCCTGGAGCTCAGCAACCGCCTGGTGCAGGCCATACAGGTGAGGGCAGGGGTCCGGGGTCCCGACCCCCCGCTCTCACCCTCTCCCCGACTCCCCAGGCCACGGCGGAGACCGTCTACGACATCCTGTCGCCCACACCCCCGCCGCCGCGGGCGCTGCCTGCCCGGAGGCCCACGCGGAGGCAGCGCCGGGGGCAGCCGCCAGCCGACCTGCGCGAGGGCGTGGCCAAGGCCTACGACGCCTTCCGGGAGGTACTGCCCGTTTTTGCTGGCCACGCCTCTGGGGTGGGGCTATGCAGGAGGCGGGGCTGCACAGGGCCGGGGTCTTCTCCCTGACCCTGTAGAGTTTGAGGGGCGGAGGGGGCATCGCGGAGTGCTCCAGGACAGCCCAGTGGCAGGAGGAGGCTCCCAGTTTGACCCAGCATAGGGGGCTGTTTCCCAGGACGGAGAGGACCCAGGCGTCCAGGGCTGGGGTTGGGCTCTCCCAGTCCTTCCCAGGGGCAGGGAGTTCCTGGGGAGCGGGGTCTTCTAGTCCCTCCCCATTGCAGGGAACTGCTGGGATGGGATACCTCCCACTTTAACCCAGTGGTCAGGACTTGCTGGGTGCCAAATCCTCCCCGTCGGCCCCAGCCGCAGGGCACTGTTGGCCGGGGGCTGCTCGGGGGAAGTTAGGGGCAGGCGTGGGGGTCTCCCGGTGCTCCCCAGCCCCTACTGAACTGGGGGGACTGGGAGGGCAGTGGCTGGCTGGGAGCGGGGGCAGCCCATCCTGACCCCCTTGTTCCCTCCCAGGGGGTGCTGGACACGGCTCAGACCATCTGTGACGTGGCGGGCCGGGGGCACGCGGAGGAGGGG